CCCAGGGTTTCTGCTCTTGGTCTTACAGGGCCAGGTATTTAGCAACTATAAATGGGCCTCCTTCCATTGAAGTCCATGAGCATCCAGCCTCGGGGGAGGAGATACCCTAGGGAACTGTTACACCAAAGTGATCTGATTTCTCCCAGCGCTGCAGCCAGTACTGGGGCCTGAAGGGGATGAAATAACCCTTCTGGTCAGGCTGGCTCAGGTCTCCTTGGCAAGACACTGGCCTTGCAGGGTAAGTGGTCAGCTGCAAGCTGTTCCCTGCAACGCGCAGCTTAGCCACGCAGCGGTGAGTCACGACCCCCAACTACATGTCTCAGATGCCATGGCCTTAAGCAGGATCGTCCTTGTGCTAACGAGGGGTTTAGCTGCTGCTCTCCTCTTGCTGTAGCCTGTCAACACTGGAAAAGGCTGTGGCACGAGATGTTCCTTGCAGAGGGGTGCACACCTCCCCAAATACCACCCAGATTTGCAACTGAGAGACCAGGGAGGAGCCCCAGGAGGTTGAATGCCCATGCATCCAGGAGAAGCTGCCTTCCCCAGCCCAGCCACAAATCCAGCACTGGTTATGAACCAGCGGGGTGAGGAGAAGACGTAAGCCTGTCAGCCTGGTCCCACTCATTTGTGTTGCGTTCAGTCCGTCCCCCCAGCCCGTCCCTCCACAAAAGAGGGAACATTAAAGGAGAAGATCTGTTACATGAAGACATTTTCCATGTGCCAAAGCCAATTGTTCCCGTTCCCATTGTCTGCTCAACAGAGGAGTCCCTTGAGCTGAGCGCCTGAGACTGTTAGAACAGGCCTGTTACCAGAACCAACCCCGTAACAAGATAACTAGTTTTTTCCCCCCCTTTTTCTATCTTTCTTTCTTTTTAAAAAAAAAAATGTGTTCGGCAAACCGTATAATAAAAGTACAGTGAAGGCCTTTTCAAACAGGCCCCTATTAAAGTAACAAATCCATTTTAAGAGTAAACTTCCAGTGGCACTGAAAGGTTAAGTACAATGGAAATCTGACCTGCCGGAGGAATGGAACTTTCCTTTTGTGTGCTCTTTAAAACCAATACGTTTTCACCGCGCCACAAGCCGATTGTTCCCGGCTCCTCCATTGTCCGCACGACAAGCTCGCCTTCTCTCACAGCCCTGCACCAGCCGGAGGGGGAGAGCCGGACGGGCGACAAGAATGCACTAAGTAATAAGGACGAGAATGAGAGCTGGGAGATGCCCCCCCACTCCCTCCTTGCTCAGTTCATTTCCATTTCTGGTCCATTGTGAGACTCCCGGGCAGGTCACCCAGCACCTCCCAGTTTCTGCCCCTTGCAGGTTATTTATGCTCTTCAGAGTATGCATTTTAGCTTCTGGGGGGTGCAAGTGAGTGAGAGGATTTTGGGTCTAGGGGGTGCATGCTGGACTGATAGTCCCTAGGGAGGAATGTATCTCTTCCTGGGCAGGAGAGTTTTGCATGGTAGCCACGTAGCAAACCCAAAGCAGCTCATCTTCTCTGTGCTTGGAAGTGGTAGCCAGGGCCAGCCATAGCTGTCTGTCCGGGGTCCAACTGGCCTCCATTGTGCAGCCTGTGTTGGTGCTCACAGTCCCCCTGTGAAGAAGGAGGGGGCTGTTGTCTACCATCAGAACTTGAGGTTGAGCCAAAGAGGTGTGTGGGGGGTTGCCAGTGGCAGCTGACCACTGGTACCTTAGCTGCCATTGTACTCGGTGGGCACCAAGGAGCCTAAAGAGCTTGTAGCATCTGGCCTCATGTGACTTGCCTGAGGTCCTGTAGGAAGTCAGTGGCAGAGCACAGATTGGAACTCAAAGCTCTTAGCCCACTGGGGGGGCCTACGGTGTAGCTGCAGGTAAACCGAGGGACCATGCTTGGAAATGGGCTTAGGGGTGGGCTTGCTGCTGAGTGTATGCTGTGCCTTCTCCAGGGGTCAAGCTGTGATCCCAGGTCTCGTGGCACATTACCGTGAGGCCAGTCCAGCCCATAACCCACAGCTCTTTCTCTAGGGGAAAGGCTAGGGACGGTGCCCTCCGTGCTACTGTGTGCCATCTCGCAGGGTGGACAGCAGCCCCGTCAGGTCTTGCCAAAACACTCATTTTTTCCTTGCTGGGAGATGTAGGATGGCTCTAGGTCCATTGACCGGTTCACGCCATGAAATGCTGGAGAAGGAATCGAGGAATCCCCAAGGAGTGGGTCCTCCTGCCCTTGCTGGCACCTGTCGAAAGCTTTTGGAGGCAGGGAATGGGGTTTGGTGGTTAGAGCAGCAGGAGAGCTGGACTCCTGGGTTTGATCCCAGCCTGATGGTCAAATGGGGGCAAGATGCTGAAATAGCCTCACTGCCCTGCCTCAGTTTCCCTGTACAGGAATAATATTCTCCACAGCCTGGGACAGAAAAGGGAAGCTTTGAGGTTTCCCAAGTGCATGGAGCCCAATGAGGTCTGAAAGGCTGGGGGCAAGGAGGTGCTGTGATGTGACCATGGGGCTACAGGGAGCATAGGTCTTTCCCCTGCACCCCTGTGTGACACAAAGCCAATGGGCCGGATGAGGCCAGGCCAACCCTCAACACAGCTCTTGACGCATTTCCCCCGAGGCTCTCACTCTCCTCCATTTCTGGCACAGTCATTTTCTCCATGGCTGAGGTGCAATTAATGCTGTTGCGTTTTACGAGACGGTGTGGGGCTGTGGACAGACCCCTGACTTGGGATCTTCTTGTCTAGCTCCCAGAGAGCGTCCCGTCTCCAGAAGATGAGGCTGTTGGGTCTCCGGTGTAGCGGCGGGGAAGAAGTGGAGGAGGGCCGTGTTGGGGACATGGAGGCTTCTACCGGGAGTTACTGTACCAGCCAAAAGGAAACCCAATCGCCTGGAAAGCGCAATGATTTGTTCAGAGGAGGGCAGGGAGCTGAGATAAAAAGCCCTGCTAAGATCAGAAACTCTGGCGTGCACAGTACTGCATTGTTGAGCTGTCACACTTCCCTTTACTTTATTGCTTTTGTCCAACACCCTATTGTTCCACTTCCTTTTGTCCCCTATTCAGAGCCCTGGCTTTTCATTACCCAGCCGGCCTTGTTGTTTTCGTTTCTTTTGTTTGAAGTTCCTGAGAGGAAGGTTTTATTTTCAGCGGTTTGATTAATTCACAGCTTGAGCCGGGCTTTGTTTGTTATGTAATTGCTGCCCTGCGCTTTTCCAGAGCTCGCACAAGCTGGAAGCCGCCATCGCTCCGGCCCTGCTCCCTGCCTGCTCCGGGGTGGCGCAGGCTGCAGCGCCCGGCACTGTTGCCAAGCTGGGGGGGGGGCTTCTCGGGGGAAGGACCATCTCAATGGAGCCTCGTTTAAGAGGGTCCAACAGTGGTTCATTTACTCTGGTCGGTCCTAATAGCTGCTGCGGATGCAGCAGTCCATATTATCTGGTATCTATTGCTCTATCTGCCAGGCCGTGCCAGCCTAGCATCGCTGCACCGCAGCAGGTCCCGTGGTCTCCTGGCTTGGGATCCCATCTCCAGCCGCGGCCAATACTGGGGGATACAGTGTGAGCATAAATCCCTCTCCTTCCTGCCCCTCAATTTCTATTATTCTCTGGAGGGAAGGGTTTGGGCAGGCAAATTATTTCCTGCCCGCTCCCTCCCTGCTGGTGACCAGGCCTGGCTGTGGAGCATGAGGGTTGGTGGCTTTCATAGGGCAAATCCTTGCTGGAGCAGCTGCAGATAACCCCTTCCTCCATGTACCCGCCTACGCCTTCAAGAGACACCTTGAGACTGAGGTGCCGCACTAAAATGGACTCAGATCCCTGGCTCACAAGGCCAGATGCATCGGTGTCTTGGCTTGTTGGCCATTCACTACTCAGGGGTTTGCAGATGAGGCTGACGGTGTTTCTCTCCGATGAGCCTGGCCCCATCGGCACGGCACCGGCAGAGGTTTAGCCTGGCACTGCTGGCAGTGTGCTTGGCATCTCTTTCTGGCTAGCCCTTGGTGGACTCTTCCAGGACCTGCTCTCTGAGTGCAGGAGGTCCCTTCTGCATTGAAGCAGCCTGGTTTCAAGGCCAGGAGGCAGGCATCCCTTGGGTCTAGTTCCAGAGTCAGGATGAGCTCCTGCCACAGCCTTTGCGTTGGGCCTCATTCCCAGCTGTGCTCAATGTCTGCAGCTCCTGCTACTTTCAGTGGGGGCTGTGGGTGCTCAGCTTTGAATAGTCTTGACCCCTGTGGGCCTCAGTTTTCTGATCTGCAGAATGGGGAGAATAACATAGAATGGGTTTGATGATTCTTTTCTCATGTAATGTTGGGGGGAGGTAAAGGTTTATCCATGTATGGTCACAAAGGCGCGTGGGAACCCTTTGAGAAAGCTGCTAGGCCAATACAAAGTCCAAGATCCTCGTCCGACACTCGCTTTCTTTTCCCTTTCTTTTCAACTCTGCCTTGATTTTTGTTAGACTGGCATTGCTGCATTCCCTTCATTGATTGTAGTGAGGAGGTTTTGGGTTTATTCTCCTGTGCGCTTCTGGTCAACAGGGCCAGTACCTGCAGTAGAGAAAGCAAAAGAAGCCACAGACAGCGGGGTTTCCATGAACCGCAGGATAATTCAAGACCTTTGTAACTTCTGATCGGAAAGCAAATTGGTTATACAGAGCTGGCCCAGAACCTCTCCTGCTTGTCCCAGAGGGAGCACAGGCCTGGAAGGTGTCTCCGGGGCCATCAGGTCCGGGCCTCCCAAATCAGGCAGGCAGAAAGCGACTAGCATGGAAGATGCTGAAGCAGCACTGGGGGGTCAGGAGGTAAAGCCTTGTTAGGGCAGGATGGGATAGTTGGTGTCCCATTGCTTTGCTGTCAGCCCAGTGTAGGTCACTGGGGAGTGTCCATACTGTGCATTTAAATAGGCCTCTGTGCCCTGGAGGTGCAGTCCAAGGGGAAGGGGACCTGGACTGTTCCCACTTCAAGCACATTCCCTGCAGTTCTGCCTCCAGAAGACAGACTTGGCCCCATCACCATGCTCAGCATCTCTCCTCCCACAGGATGTCCATGAGGAACCCCATCTCTCCCCATCTGGACCTCGATGGAGCCGGCAACATGGTGAACTGCGCCATCAAGACAGAGGGGAAGGAGAGCTGCTACGAGTCCCCAAAGGGAGCAGCTGCCGGCCCCGAGTCCCATGCCAGCAGCTTGCACGGAGCACCGCCATCACTGAGAGACACCACTGACCCCCGGGCCCTGCCACAGGTGGGGCCAAATCCTCCAGTCCTTTCCATCCTCACTGCTCACAGGGCAGAAGTCAGGGCAGACCAGAGGGGACAGGCTTGAATGTAGTAGCACCTGCTGCCCCCTTGTCTGGCTGTTTGATGGACTCACCACGGTCACCAAGCACCTTAGGTCCACCAAGTCTTCAGGTCCCTGGCTAGTGCACTAACCCTCTGCCCTCTGCACTGCCAGCAGCTGAAGACAGAAGCCAGGTTGCCCTCCTATGCAAGGGCAGGCAATGGAGCTCCACAGAAGAAAATTGCTGATCCTCTTCCTGTCGCCTCCATTTCACTCTCCTCCTGAGGAGCCAGCACTGTTATCTGAGGCTCCCCCAGACTTTCTGCCCACTGTCATGCCTGGGATTTGAGCTGTGGCCTTCAGAGCAGGTGGTCCCGTAGTAGCAGCAGGCAGATGTGCTGTCTTAGGAACGGCTCCAGCTCTTTTGGGAGACCTGTGGCCACACTCTCATTTTCCTTTTGTAATTGCTCCTGGGTTTTCCACTGCTGAGCACTGTGCCTGGATAACTGTGCAGCCCCCTGGCCCCCCCGCTCCCCTTCCCCACCACCCAGACCCCCCAGGCGATTGTTTTTGCCAAGAGAAATCTTTTGCAAAGAAATGTTTGCAACACAA